GAATGGAGTTGGTTACTTCCGAGCACCTCCATCTCCGTTAGTGTGCGTGTGGCCGGGTGGGCGCCTCGGCGTGTCCTTACCGCCCCCTTCTTATTTCGCCTGCAAATTGCACTAAATGAAGACGTATGCGACGCTGCGCCAAAAGAGGTAACCGCGTGGGCCGAGGCCGCCGGGCCGCCCCCCGCCGGCCCGCCCGCCGCGCACGCTTAACTATGCAAACAGAGTTTCGGCGCCGCGCCGCCCCCGCCGCCCCCACATACGCGTAGCGCAGCCCGGCGTGGCCCGGCGCAGCCAGTGCGGGGATCAGGCGGAAGGGGCGGCCGTCGCGGAAGATAGACGGCGGGGCCTAAGACCCCTCGGCCTCCCCGGCGGCGGCGGGCGGCAACGTCCCCGACGACGAGTGCAGTCGTCGCAGTGCCACCAACTTTCTCATACTGCCTTGCCCGCAGTCCCCACAGTGGCGGGGCAGCGCGTAGGCCCGAGGGGCGTAAAGGGCCGAAATACGTCGGGGATTGTCGCCGCATTTGTAGTGGCGCGGAGGCGCGGCGGGGGGCTCCCCCATCCGTCCAAGTAGTGCGAGTTGGATGCCAGACTGTGATATACGCTGCGCCGCCCGCAGGCTGGCTGCCTGGCTGGCCGCCCCGGGGCTGGCTGCGCGGGGGCGGCGGGGGCGGCGGGGCGTGTCCTGCTGCGCCATTATGAGGAACAAGTAGCGGAGGAACTCCTTCTGCGGGAACATCGTCTGGACCGCCACCGCGGGGAGGGCGGCGGCACACTGGTGGAGGTTGCGGACCAGGACGGCGATGATGTGAGTCAAAAGTGCGCGGGGTGGGCTCGCCGAATGCGTCGGCGGCGTCCCTGGAGTCACGTTTCGCGTTTCGCGACGGTGGACACACAGCCAAGCGAACCCCCCGGCTCGTCCGCCTCCCCAGTGTAAAAACAAGAATCTGCACTTTTTCTTTCAAGGAGCCATTTTCGCTCCGCGCGACCCGCCTTCGGCTCGCAGAGGCAATGACTGAGGGAAGCGCCGCGGTGACGAGACGAGAAGGGGCGGTCGGGGCACGGCGGGGACGTCGGGGACGTCTCTAACGAAATGCAGGAGGACTCGTGGACAGCAGATAGTAATGATAAAGCATGGAGGGCGCCTTGGGGGTGATAATTCTCGCGGCCCTCTCGATGCCTATCGATCTATCGAAGCGCAATGCTCCGAGCAACGCTTCCGTCGCTCTGTCCCTCTCGCACTGGCGGGGCGGCGCGAAAGAGACAGAGCGACGATGCAGTGTTGTTCGGAGACAGACCCCCGCCGCCGACTGCGAGACTGAACAGAATCCACTCCGCGCCACGCCGCTACCTTGAGTCCCTGAGTCAGGCGGAGTGAAGCTCTCTCGCTAAGAAGGGCCGAAGAAAGGCAGCGGCGCAGACTCACAGACGCCGAGGCCGCGGGTCTCGGCTCGCGCATTGTCCCGATGGATGCACTTGTCAGCAGCCACTGCCATCGGGCAGGGACGGGGACGGGGACGGCCAGGGCCTTACGCTATTTCCATTTCGGCATTCCAGGACGGGTCCCTTTGTCTCAGGAGCCAAGGGGGCCTCACCGCAATACCCCCCGGCCTCAGCCCGGCTTTCTTCGCTGTCTCTCTCGCACTCACGAGCCGCTCCGTGTCGGTGCGAGAGAGACAGACTGCGCGACGGAACGGGCCTTCTGGCCAGGACACCAAGGCAAACCCAATACCTTCGCGCCCCGCTCGCGCGCTCCCTCTCAGAACCCCCTTTTTCCCTCTCAGATTTTTTTCTCCGTGAAATCAGAGCGCGCCGCCAGAGAGAGCGCGTGTGAGTTTACAGCGGTATTGGCAGTGGGGCGCGCGAAAACAAAAACAAAAACAGACACGTAACGCGAACCGAACAAAAAGGCGCACTCCGGACGCGCTGCTCCGCCCCGGAGTAATAAGAAGTCCAACTCGGATGTTTATTTTTTGGGGCTCATTGTACGCGCCACATGTGTGCACGTGGTGGAGCCACCCCTTTGCTGCCGCTGCTGCACCGAGCCCCGCCAACGCACGCCAACGCACGTGCATCTGACAAGACGCATAAAACCCAACGGCCGCACACACACACACACACACACTGTCACCCACACCTACGCGTATTGCGAGCCAGGCCGGCACATATGCAACCAGCCGCACACACATGTCGAGGTGTTGTGTGCGCTGTGCGCAAGGCTGTGCGCCCGGCGGCCTGGTGCAAATGCAGCCCCCCCCCCCAACCTCCCCGCCGTGCCGCACTACGCCGCACAGCAGGCCGATTCCGAGGGTCGTTGTCATCGCTCTGTCTCCCTCGCACCCACACGGGGCGCCCCATGAGTGCGAGAGAGACAGAGCGACGACAACGGCTGCTGCAGCCTGCCGCCTGGCAACAAGAAGCCGTTCCCACTGCACTGCGAAATAATATCGCACCGCCACAGCTGCGCCGGTCCTTCGGTCCTTCGTCCTCGCCCCGCCGGCTCCGCGCAATGCACGCGCAGTGCACATGCAATGCGCGCGTACTGCACTGTACTTGGCGAACGCAACAGTTGGCGGCCCTGCCCTGCCCTGCTGATGCTCAGGTCGGCAACGGCTCCGCGCGACGGAGGGAAACACTTTGCAGGAAACGGAGAGACGGAGCCTCCTCCTGGTGTGTCCTGCATTTGCACTGTGGTGGCACGTGTGTCCTGCTTTTGTGCTATGCTAGCACGTGGCGTGGTCGGGACCAAGATCAAAACCAGCATGTCTTTGGATTTTTTTGTTTTTCTGAAGTGTGATTCTCGAAGGGGAAGTCCCAACCGCCCAAACCCGTTTCGGGGTTCGCGGGTTCGCTTCCCGCCTTCCCGTTGGGAGAGCAATCCATTGGTGGGGTCACACGTTCGGTTCGAGTCCCATTTAGCGACTCTGGAGCTCAAAACGCGTCTAGAGTTTTGGCCGCCTCCACCGGTCTTCTGGCCCACTGTGCAGTGTGGTGGCCTCCGCCATGGCGCCATGGCGGTGCGATGTGCGCTGCGGCAGTCCGAACTAATGGCGCAATGAATGGGCGGTGCGATGCGGACCGTGATCGCACGCCTCGTGTGTCCGGGACGATCCGGGACGATCCGGGACGTCGCGGGAAGTCCAAACATCTGGCTCCGGGTGGCGTCCGAGGCCGGCGTCGGCGTCGTCACGCGGGACGGGCTGTGCCGCGCCACCTGACGACCGAGAATCGCTCTCTCGCACTCATGGGGCGCACCGTATGGGTGCAAGAGAGGCAGAGCGTCGAAAGCGACTCTCGGATTCAGTCTGCTGGGGGTAGCGGGCGCGACCCGCCTCGCCTCGGACGCCTCCCTGGCCAATGAAGTCGAGTCTCTGGCCGTGCCACAGTCCATTTCATGCGAGGACCGCATCACGCGCCCCGAATCGCCAAGCAGAGCGCCACGCACGCCCCCCCCCTCCTCCTCCCCCGTCGTCGTCGTCCCGAGGCGTCGGCAGGGCGCGCCTTTCGCTTTTTGAACTCGTTTCCGAACTCCACTTTACGGTGGCGTGGCGTCGGCCGCCGTCGCCGCGCGTGCTGCTCCGTTCCGTGCCTCAATTTACAAGGAAATGGCTTGATTGGGATGAGTTTGCCTGACCCCCTCCCCTGCCCCGTTTTTCCCTTGCGTCCGCGGCGGCGCGGCATGAACATCCGCTTCCGAGGCGTTCGCGGGTTCAAATACCACCCATTTCCACGCGCTACATTTTCTTTTTCGAGGCCTTTATTAGCCAAATGGACGGCGCTTCCTCACTCAGGACTCGGGGAAGAAGACCCGACGGCGGCCGAAGTGCGGCGCGGCGGTGGCCGAACCCGCCCAGCGCGAGAGGCAAGGAAGGCTGCCTTGAAAATTTCCATTTGTCAGCCCCGGCCGATTCAATTACTCAGCTTGTCACCTGGGCCCCGCGGCGCTCTGTCTCTCTCGCACTCCCGGGGCGCTGCGGAGGGTGCGAGAGAGACAGGACGCTGTTCGGAACCGGCCTGCAGACGGCGGCCGCGTCATTTCCACCGCCGTAAAGGCGGCAGGGGGCGGGGGCTCCCCGTCTGCCCCCGATGGCTCCAGGGCGCTCCGGGCCGGGCACACCATTAAGTGAAATGTAACTCGCGAACACTGGAGCGGAGCGCGGAGACTCATCGGCGACGCGATCAAGCTGTTTACGACGCAGATTAGGCTACACGGCCCTGCCGCCGGTTCGGAGCCCGTCAGCGGCGGCCTTGGCGCGGACGCGGCGCGCCTCCAAAACGCCGTCCTCCTCGCCGACGTTAATCACTGACTGCCCCATTACTCTCCAGGACCCGCAGGACCTCCAGGATCGCGAGCTGAAACCGCAGTTTGTGGATTCATTTCGAGGCAGTGGTGCATCACCCAGGTCACCCTGGCGCCGTGTCTAGCCCTGAATGGTAATGGTCATGGTCGCCGCCTGTGAGGCTCTGCATGCAGGTCCGTCGAGCACCGGAGTATGCTGGGTTGCCTATCCGCCGGCAGCAAGGCTCGCTGGCCCGAGTGTTGTGGGTCGCTACAACCAGGGTTTTCGAGCTTTGGTTTTGAGAATTCAACTGAAGCTGGGCGATGAGCAACTCACGATACTGCTTTTCTCCAGAAAGTGGTAACCCATTCCGGAAATGCTACGCTCTGTGATTGTGGTTTGGAGTCTCGGCCCAGCCAGTGGGCGGCCACGCATTGAAACCCTGCCCTGTTTGTGTTAAACTACCGCAAGCGCGGCACTACCACAAGGGACGTAAGTTATCTTCGATTGCCAAACACGCCCCACTGCAGAACTGCTGCCGGCGTGCATTTGCATGGGGGAGCCGGTGCATAAAATAAGCATTGCAACACATTGTAGTGGCAACTGTGCAATAGCCACTTCCAATAACAACCCTGCGATTGCGTGACAATTCTAATTATCCCATGCATATGTGAGTGAGTGTATAACTTTAAACAAAGGACACAACAAGAAACAAAAAAAAAAATTTGACGTAACAAATTTATTAAAGAAAGTATAAACATACATCATTATTGATCACAAAGCGAAGTCATTAGAATAATATTTACATTAATTTTTGCTGTGTAGCAAAAGCAAACCAATTATTGAAGTTACGTATTAAAAATTAGATCATTTTTTAATATAATGCCAATTAGATTGGAGAAAATTATTGTGGGCCTGACTAGCTTATCTAATTAATAGCCAGCCGGCTACTCAGACGAGGTGCCCCATTCAGGAGCCCCTTCTTAAGGCATCTCCTTTTCACATTAACATTAACACTTTGTGTTCATACTCGTCACTTGCACCACAAGCTTGTCAAATAAGTCTACAGACTTGAAGAGCTGGCACATGCACTGCCACGAAACCTAAACTACACATCAGTGAACCATAGTGATGAACCATTTCCAAATTTTCCCTGAACACACTGAGCCATTTTCAGATTAGTCTTAAACATATAATTACAAAATTACAATGTCTAATTACACAACATGACCTGACTAGCTAATTAATCTAATTAATCTAATTAATCACCAGCCGGCTGCTGAGGCGAGGCCTGGGAGCCCCATTCAGGAGCCCCTTCTTGAGGCATCTCCTCTCCACATGCGGACCAGGCCTGAGATCTCTGTAATACTTGTACGTGGCAATGATGCAATCAGATGAACATACACAATTGCACACCGGCAAGGGCGGTGCGGCTGGCTTCGCAGACGCGGCCTCGGGTCTGAGAGAGACCGGGGCATCGCGCTGCGCCTGCGCCGGCGGGACAGACTCAGTCGACGGGCAGGACGGCGTCGAAGGGTTTGCCGTGGTGGTGGTGGCCGTCTTCCAGTGCACCCACTCCCCCGAAGTCTTGATGCTGGCGTCGGCGTCCCCGCCCCCTCGGCGCCACAGCGGCACGTCGGTCTTGCGGTCGGTCCGGGCGGGGCTGGTGGCCCTGGAGCTGCAGCCGGAACTGGTCGGACTCTCGGTGCTCAGAACGCTGAAGCGGCCGGCCGGGCTGGAGGTCCTGCTCCTGGCGGGGCCGGAGGGGCTGGCCGCGCGGCTGAGGTGGGGCCTCCGGGCCCTGACCGTCTCCCAGGCGGGGGACTGCGGGCGCGGGCAAGCGTCCGCCTCCTCGATCAGGCCGCGGACTTCGGCCAGGGCGTCGGCGCACACGGACGGCCGGGAAGCCTCCGCGTCAGTCGCTGGTGGTGGCGCCGCCTTGCTGGCAGCAGGAGGCTGAGGCACTGCTTTGCTGGCAGGTGCAGGTTGAGGCACTGCTTTGCTGGCAGCTGGAGGTTGAGGCACTGCTTTGCTGGCAGCTGGAGGTTGAGACACCGCTTTGCTGGCAGGAGGTTGTGGCACCGCAAAGTTTGGAGCTGAAGGTGGCGCCGCAAAGTTAGGACCTGAAGGTAGCGCCCCGAAGTTCGGAGCCGGACGAGGCGCCGCGCTAAAGTCGGGCGCGAAGTTTGAAGCCGGACGAGGCGCCGAGAAGTGCGGCGCGAAGTTCGAAGCCGGACGAGGCGCCGAGAAGTGCGGCGCGAAGTTCGAAGCCGGACGAGGCGCCGAGAAGTGCGGCGCGAAGTTCGAAGGCGGACGAGGCGCCGAGAAGTGCGGCGCGAAGTTCGAAGCCGGACGAGGCGCCGAGAAGTAGGGCGCGAAGTTGGGTGCCGGGGACGGCATCCCGTAGCTGGAACACGGGGGCGCGGGCGGCGCGGGCCCGAGCACCGACAGCGGCGCGAGGCCAGACGTAGGTGCGGCGAAGCTCCTCAGAGGCGTAAGCCCGACGCCGGACTGCAGCGGTGTCACCACGACGCACGGAGATGCGACCACAAAACTGTGCGATGCAGCCAACTCAGCTGCAGATTGTGCACTAGGCTTCTGCTGGTTGCTCCACCCGCAGTTAGTGTAGGTTGTGTGGTTAACTGCAGAAAAAATAAAACAAGTTAGAGCAAATGAAACTCAAAACAGAAACATTCAAATTAAATCAGGAAGAGGCAGGTATGCCCACCTTGAGACTGCCCACGAGACTTGCCAGCAGGCTCCTGGCGAGAATGTCCTGTTACTGCATTGGCAGATTGTCCAAGGGAGTTGACTGGTCCCGAAACTGAAACAGATATTAATGGAAAGTTAAAACTGGGCATGACAAAAAAACAACAAAAAAAAAACTGACCATACATAGAGACAGGCATACCTTGAGAGTCTGAGCGATTAGACTGACAGGTGAACAAGTCATTAGGAATCGTGGACATAGACTTGTCGTCACAGATGAGGACCACAGGCCGAGAGACAGGTGCACCAATAGGAGCAGCTACAGGTGACAATGAAAACATACAAGTTAAACCACTGGTAGGATATATCTTAAATTAACAGCCTCTTTCATGGTGTGTCCATTAAAATAATGTGACACAATCTCAGGAGTAAAACAAAAGTGAAGGGAAAGTTTAGAAGATGTGTCGTATGAACTAAGAACCTCATCGTAAACGGAACACTCAGCTAGTGATTTCATGTTTGCTCACCTTTGTTCTGATCGCTGTTCTCCTCGGCAAATTTATTACTTAACTTCAGTCTCGCACTCACTCCTTTCCCTAAGGAAAAATGACCAAAATTAATAACTGGAAATTAAGGTAGAGCATATAGTTACTGATAAGAGAGGGGAAAATTTTATAACTCACTCTCCGTATCAGAATGACATTCTTCCTTAACACTAGGCAGAATATTCTTTCTTGCATCGTAGGATCCTTCCATGTATGGCGGAGTAGTAAAACCGTCTGAAGATAATGTAAAGAAAATGTTTAAATGCAAGATTAGCAATACATGGCTGAAACGCCAGTTTTAATGAAAACATGATACTAAAACTTCAAAATAAAACGTACCTAAATCAGATACTTTTTGATCACGATCACTGCTTGGGACCTCAAGTTTAACTGGCACATGATTACCATTAGAAACTGGAACGGGATTGCCTGTGCACAGCGCATCAAACAGTTTTCCCTCCCAGTGAAAATCATCACAATTAGGAGCAGCATCACCTGAAAAAAATTCAACTACTTAGAGACTAAAGCTGCAAGTACAAAATCTACTCTTACCTTCAGAAAACAAGTTTACTACATACCTGGTTTGACTTGAACCTCTGCTTTCACCTCGTTCAGCTTGGGCATTTTTAAACGATCAAATCGCCCCTGTGCCGGGCACTTGTACTGCATTGGGGGCTGGATGTAGCTCTGGCCCACCAGAAAATCACTCCACGCGCTCTTCGAGGGGGGAGACTGCGGTGGAGTAGGCAGTGCCACGGGTCGCATGCTCGCCGACGGTGACCTCGGTCTGGGGGGCATCAAACCCCGTGCCTGGCCGGAAGGGCGCATCGACGGCGGGACCCACGCGGGCGCGGTGGGGCGCAGGCTGCTCTTGGGCGGACTCGGCGCTCCGTTCCAGGCGGAGGGGAGACTCCCTGCAGTCGCCGCAACTGACGTGGCGGTCTTGCCGGCATTGCCCTCTGGAGGCGACACGGACGCGGGCTCCACTTCCAGGGGCGGAACAAGGTCCAAGTGCTCCAAGGCAGGGGGGCGCGAGTCCGGCTTCACGGAGGCAGGCGAGCCTGTTGACAGAAGGACAAGACAAGTTCAGTAAAACATTGTTAAAAGTGCACGATTAACTATTCAAACCCAGTCAGACAATTACCTTCCTCTGCCTTCTCAGGCCGAGAAGACAGGGAAGCACTGAGCCGCTCCAGGCGGGCCTGTGCCGAAAACACCCTGGACACGGGCTTGGAAGGTGTACCTGTTGAAAAACAAGACGAGTTCAGTAAAAAAAATTAGTTCACAAGCACGACAAATTAGTCAAAACCAGTCAGGCAATAAATTACCTAGTTCCACCTTTTTAGGCTGAGGTGGCAGGGCGGCATCAAGGCGCTCCACAGGGGCACCTTGCACGAAGGAGGGCCCTGGACACAGGAGGCAGAAGGGTGAGCCGCGCAATAGGGAGGGGCAGCAAGGTCGTGAGCGGTGGCGAACGACCTCAGGGAGGGCTGCTCACCTTGATGGCTCTGTCACAGCGGGCACGCAATCGCGCGCAGATGGCTCAGGGGCACGCAAGTCCTGCACCGCCGGGGCACTGCACTAAGGAGCGGCTGCCTCCCAGATGGCTCAGTCACAGCGCTCGCAATCCTGCAGCGCAGATGGCTCAGCACGCTCCGCAGCCAGGCAGGCTCGCAAGTCCTGCAGCGCAGATGGCTCAGGGGCACGCAAGTCCTGCACCGCCGGGGCACACTGCACTAAGGGAGCGGCTGCCTCCACCACAGATGGCTCAGTCACAGCGGCTCGCAAGTCCTGCTGCGCAGATGGCTCAGTCACAGCGGCTCGCAAATCCCGCTCCTCGGTGGCACACCGCATCAAGGGCTCAGCTGGCAAGCACTGTTGCGTAGAAGGCTCAGGCACAGGTGGCTTGACGGGGGCAGCAGACCGCGCCGTCACAGGGGACACAATCTTGGTCCGCGCGAACGCCTCTGGCGGTGGAGACTGGGCGGGGAAGCCCCTTCGTCTAGAAGGCGCCGATGGTGACGGGGCGGCCGCCACGGGCTCTGCGACAGGTGGTGGTGCGTCGCGGAACTCTGGCGGCGGCGGTACGCACGGCGGGGGGCACGGGGGTGCCGCCGATGTCTCTGTGGCGGCAGAGACTGACGTCACCGGCGTGGAAAGTCTAGAAGGCGCCTCCTCAAATCTCGTCACTGGAGTACGAGGCCTGCAAAAACAAGACAGTCGATAGAGCACTTTGACAAGGTAGCTGGGAAACATTCTGCTTCACAAGAGAAACGTTAGACACATTATGAGAGACAAAACAAAGTTCAAATTGAGAATGCACAAAACCATAGAACAAAATGACGCACTCTTCAACCAACCTGCGGAGCGGTCCAGAAATCGGGGGAGTCCTCATGCGCAAGGGCTTGCCTGGAAGGCGAGCAGGGGGAGGAGAGGGAGGGGAGGGAGAAGGGGGAGGGGTGGGGGAAGGGGTGGGGGAAGGGGGAGGGGTGGGGGAAGGGGGAGGGGTGGGAGCGGGGGGAGGGGAGGGAGCAGGGGAGGGAGAAGAGGGAGGGGTGGGGGAGGGGGAAGGGGTTAGGATAGAGACAGGCGAAGGGGTGGAAGATGAGGGGTAGAGGTATGTTCAGAAGGGTCATGCTCGGCAGTGGCTGAAGGGAAAGGAGAAGGATCAGGTTCAGAATCGGGTGGAGGAACATTCAAAGCAGTGGGACAGGGTTTGGAAAGATCGGGCGAAGGAGAAGGGGGTGGTGAGCGGCCTGCAGGGTCAGCAAACTTCTTCTTGATCTTCGGAGACCACAGTGTGTCCGGCCCCTTGGCAGCCGCCTCGTCGGGGTGCTGCTCCACCGAGGCTGCAGGCCCTGGCTGCTGCGCCTGCACTGGGCGGCTCAGGTGCTGCAGCTGCAGCAAGGCCGTGGGGTAGAGGCACGCCGCGATGGCCAACAGCCGCTGCTCCTTCTCGGGGCTCCAGCAGCCGACGTCGGCCAGGACGTCCTCGCCCTCCTCCAGGATGGGCGACAGCTGGCCGCCGGCGCGGTGCACGTCGCGCAGGTTCCACCGGTGGCCCGCCAGCATGGGGCTGTCGGGCGCCAGGTTCCTCGCGCGGCGCAAGCACTCGTCGGCCGTGGCGAGGCTCAGCTTGGCGCGGCAGTTAGAGTTGAGGAACAGGGTCACGTAGTTCGAGTTCACGAAGACAGAGTCGGGCCACAGGCGGATGGCCATCCTGCAAGCAAACCGGTCACCACCAAGTCCACTCGACAAAAATTAAACGAAAGAAAAAGAAACCAGCCACTTACTCGCAAAGCTTGGCCGCCTCATCCACAGCCTCTGCGTAGCCGGAGTGGGACAGGTAGCTCGCGTACTCGATGACAGTGAAGGGGGTCTTGTGGAGGTTGAACCCGGCCTGCAGCAGGATGCTCTTCCTGGTGTCGGTCCACGGCAGGCACCGCGCGTACAGGGTCAGCCACACGCCCTCCTCGGGGGCGAGGGCCATCGCGCACGTGGCCGACTCCAAGGCCTCCTTGAACACGGGCTTGCGCTCGTCCATGAGCGACGGCCACAGAGCTGCAGACACGAGACATTACAGTCACCCTCTGGTTCGAGCGCCGACACCGAACAGTTTCACAATGGGCCAGAAGACCGGTGCTGGCGGCCAAAATTGTAGACACGTTTTGAGCTCTGGAGTCGCTTTAACAGGACTCGAACCGAACGTGTGACCCCACCAATGGATTCCTCGTTCGGAGAGCAATCCATTGGTGGCGTCACACGCTCGGTTCGAGTCCCATTTAGCGACGCTGGAGCTCAAAACGCGTCTGAAATGTTGGCAGCCCCCACCGGTCTTCTGGCCCACTCTGCGCTCGCTTCACTCCGCACTCACTGTAGTGGACGATCTGGAGGGTCAGCGACCTGACGGCCGCGACGGCGGCCTGGTCCTGGACTCTGAGCGCGCTCACCCTGGGCACGAACCTGTGCGTCAAGCGCATGGAGTCGAGGACGGTCCGGACAGGCAGCCCAAAGTGGAGGCACGCCGCCATGATCCAGGTGGCGTCCACGACGTGCGCCATGGCCGCGTGGTAGCGGACCAGCAGCCGGCACTGCGGCTCGCTGTCCTTGGGCCACGTCATGGCGGCGCGGCACTCCTGCAGCGCCACCTGCATGTCCGCGTAGCTCTTCTCGCCGAGCAGCACGCCCCTGCAACAGTCACAGCCAAGTGAACACCAGGGACTCCAGCGCGGCGCGGTTGACGAGGGCGTGAGAGCGCGTGACCTCGCGGGAGAGAGCGAGGGTCCTGGTTCTGGGGCAGCACGGGCTCGACGGCGACCCTGACGGAAAGGGCTGCCCGTGCGGCCGCCAGAACGAGGGCAGAAAGTCAGACGCCCGGCGGCGCACCAATTTAATGGTTTCCAGAATACGGCGCGGCGGTCGACGCTGTAACGACTAAAAACAAGGGAAAATAAACGTATCTCACAACCACTAAACCGAGGGGGCGACTCTGGACGACGGCAACGAAGTCACGTCTACACTGCAAAGAGAGTCGCTACAAAACAAACAGCACAGACCACGTACCTGGAAATAATGACCAGCGCACAGGTGATGCTGTCCCAGTCATTTGGAGCGAAATTCAGCAAGTCCAAAAGTTTGTTGGGGCAAATGTCTTCGCAAACGCCCTTGGGTATCCACAGCATCGGGCAGACGAGGTCCTCTTCGTGCATCTGCTCTCGCAGCGCGCGGAGCTTCGCTATGTGCCATTGCACACCGCCGCCGTCCTGTAACCGTAGAACACAGACTGGTGACGCACGGGGACAGCCGGCAGTCACTTCCTGACGTCGGCGAAACATAACCTGGCCTGGCTTATCATGGTGTGCTGTCGGAAGGACCGGCCAGGGCCAGACAGACGCCGGCAGACAGGCAGACAGAAAAATCGGCTGGCATTTGCAAAATGGGACCGGCCCAAGGGCCTGACACTCAGCAACCCTCAAAAATCTCACGAAAAGTGCCCACCCGCACGCCCGCCCAACACGGCGACGACGTAAACAATGCTGACGCAACAAGTCCAACCACTACACTACGCGCGCGACGCCGGCCCGCCGGCCCAAACCTCGCCATCGGTTCGCTTCGGTTCTCGCACTTACGATTCTCGCACTTACGAGCAATGCCAGAAGCCGCCACCGCCGCCAGCAAGGGGCTGAGGCAGGTGGAACAGTTGGTGAACAGCGAACCGACATGACTTCTCACCACACGCCGCGTTTGAACGTCAACAACACAGAGGCGACGCGCCGGGCCGCTAGACGCGTGCGGTCTAACCTCTCAGTCGGCATGCGAACAGCGAATGACGGTACATTGACTTACCTCGGCAAGCGGTAGCTCCAACTCCAACATCTTGTACACAATATCACACAAGGTCTCCAAGCTAGGCTAATATATAGTACGGGGTCAACTCTCACATGCTGCGACTCTGTCAGTTATGACGAGGCCCACCAGCCACAGCGCCCTCCACAGCCGCAGCGCTCGGCTCGGCGTCGGCGGAGGGGGCGGGGGGCGTTCGGTAGGGCCGGGGGGAGTGGGGGAGGGGGAGGGGGAGGGGGAAGGGGTGCGTGCAGCCACAAGCAGCCGAGCCGAGCCGAGCCGCGGCGGCGGCGGTACTCGCCGATACTCCGCGCGCGAGGCACTTTATCCATTCGAACGGCCAACGGCGCCAACGGCCGTCATAATTTACTTTGAATAGCAATATTTCTCGAGGCGGTCTTTGAGGCCGGGCGATAAATGACGCGGTGCAGCGGCGCGCACTTCCAGTGCCTCGCCGTAAAGAGGAAGGGCGGCGTCCGTGATCGGCGTGATCCGAAGACGTAGTGCCTTCGAGTTCGAACGGCCGCGCCGCGTTCAAGAAGCTCGCGTCACGGACGTCGTTGGGTTCCGCGCGTCACATCGTCACATCTCGACGACCGCGACTTGACGGCCGAAGTGGATTTCCATGGAAATACGCGGCGCTCCCGCGCGCCGCGGTGATGTACAGTACAGCACGAACGCCGGGGCGGGGCGATTTCGCTCGATGTATCGAAGCGGGAGAACGCTGCGAGATATCGAAGCGGGCGAGACGCGGCCGACACTCGAATAACTCGCCGCACTATCGCGAATGCGAATCTGCGCGATGAAAAGAGGCATCGACGTGGCCGAATATTTACGCGCCGTCGATATCTCGAAGGGAAATAGTGCCCCCCTCAGAAGGGTTGAAATAATTCCCGCGAAAATGACTTTCCAAAGGACGGCGCATAAAGGGCGCCCGCCTCTCCACTTGCACCAACTTCATTAAAATGAGACGCCAAAATTGTCGCTGCTCGTGGAGGAACTGAATAACTACGGGGACGCTGCCGCGTTGCCGCGCTGCCACCGGATGGCTGGCTGGTTTCAGCAAGTTCTTCGTGCGCCGTGATGAATTATGGGGCGACGGTAGTGGCGACACAGTGGTTCACGCCCAATATAGAGCCGCCGGAACTCTAATGAAATCCATTCAACTTTACCATGACGTTACCAAGCTGTGAGACAAGGGGAACGGCATTAATAGTCATTGCAATGACAAGCAGCGCAAGCAGCGCACGCAAAACTTGCTCATTTCCGCGCACGGGGCGGGGCGGGCGGGGCAGCACCGAGGCCCCGTCCGGCCCGCGACTAAGTCCCTCGGCCGGAGCGCTCTCCAATGTATACACTCAGGGGGGTCTCATAGCGCGGCGCAAGAGGAACATAAGCTTCTTTGCAAGTTGCAGCACGGAGGAAGATAAGAATGGAAAGTGGGGCAATCGTTTTCGCTTGCATCTAGTTTTTATTTAACTTTTCCTCCCGAAAAGTTTCGTTGGCGGAAGCTTCGTTCCTGTCCCTTGCACAGACACACCGACACACACGTGGGCGCGCACACACACACACCGTGGTGGTAGAGCGGGGTTGCGCCGATACCCCCGCGCGCGCAAACAAAATGAAATTTTGCCTCGGTTCGCTTTCCCCCCAATGCGCGCGCTCTCTTGTTTACCTCCATTTCATATCAGTTCTCTTTTTATTCGAGAAGGAGCGGGCTGGCTGACCGAGCTGCGCAAATACTGGCTGGCGAAACGCGAAAAGAATCTAGAGCGATTCCAGTGAAGGGGATGCAGCGATGCAGCGGGCCGCGCCGGTAGATTGGGTTGCCTGCCTGCCGGGCGGCGCGGCTGGCGGGGCGCGCATTGATTTACAGCGCCGGGTTCGAATACCGCCGCCGGCCTGTCCGATTTCGCGATTTCGAGCCGTGGGACTCCGACGGCGCGATAGTGGCGCCCCTGGCAGACAGTGGAAAATGACGCGGAACGCGCTGGAGTGCGCGCGGGAAATTCAAAACGAGTCGGCGCGGCGGCGGGGCCGGCCGACCGGATGCCATGTCGTTGCTTCTCCCGGGGTGGGAAACGGCGGTGCTTCCCGCGGCCTGCGACTCAGCCTGCGGCACTGCTTGGCGGAGGCCAGGGCAGACAGGGCGAGGCAGGCGGGGGCCGCCGGCCGAGGTTTCAAATATCCGCATTTCGTTGCGAGTGCAGCGTGGAGCGCGGGGGTGGGGTGCGGGCCGCCAGGTAATGAACGAGGTGAAGGGACGGGAGGGGAGGGGTGTTTGCCTCATCATTACCGGTCATATTCATCGGCCCTGCAGTTGCCACGCGTGCAGGGCGCCAGCGCCCCCCCCCCCTCCTCCCCTCCCTCCCTCCCTCTCTCGCACCCCGTGCAAAACCGCGCCCCATTGTCAACCCACGCCGTCGTGGACAGGCGGCACAGGCCTACCCCCTTCCCTTCTCTGTCTGTCTGTCTGCCTGTCTGTCTCTCCCTTGCCCGGCTGATTGTTCGATGAATATCGTCCTCATCTGTGCCTGCTCAGTCGCCGTGAAGCCAGCCAGCCAGCAGACTGATTCCGAGAGTCGCTTTCGTCGCTCTGTCTCTCTCGCTCCTAAACGGAACGCCCCATGAGTGCGAGAGAGACAGTACGAGCCCTGCCAGGGCGCGCCGGGGGGATGGAATGTCGAACACCGTCGCCCTGCTTCGCCCTGCCCACTGCACTGTCGGCGCCAAATTGCTAATTTATTTTCACTGTTGATGAGGGCCGGGCGTTTTGTGCTTCGCAGGGCGTCTGTTTTTTTGCCGCGCCGTGCTGCGCGGTGCCGCCTGCATTCCGGACCACTGCACTGCCGTGCTCGAAAAGGACTCTCGGAATCGGTGTCCTGACGCCGGCCCCAGCAACGAAAGCCCTGGCCCTTCTTGATAACCGTTTCGCGCGGCCCCATGACAAACTTGCACCATTTGACTGTGACAAAACAACGGGACACGGCGCGGCTTACCCCCTCCCCCCCCCTCCCCTCGGCACCCCATCTTGTCCCCTTTTCATTGCAGCCCGCCCCTTCGACGTCGCGCCGCCCCGCGCCGCCCCACGCCGCCCCGCGCCGCCCGAACCAAATCAACACCTTGTCACTTACAGGACGCTGGTCACTTTGTGGACGGCGCCACCCCCGCCTCGGCCGCCCCCGACCGCCCCTCCGGCGCGCTGCGGGGGTGGACAGGCGACTGCCTTTGGCTTCCCTAGATTGTATCATGAGATCATGGACGAGCCGAGCGGAGTCGAGACGAGTGGAGCCGAGCCGAGCCGGGCCGGGCCGAGCCGAGCCGAGCCGAGCCGAGGCACGACGCCGTGGTGGTGACGACGGCGCGCTGCTGAATTTTCCGTGCGGAAATGAATCGCGCCGTGACAGTGCGTCCCCATCTGTGTGTGTGCGTGCGTGCGTGTGTGTGTGTGTGCATCTGTTTGCGAGCGTAAGTGCAAGTGACACCGCACGGTGCCGCGCGGCGCCCGCACGCTCCGGGAGGTGACTGTCAGTCGGAGCCACGGTCAATCAAAGTGAGAAGGGAAAACACTTTTCCAAATGGGGACAGTCTTTTTCCTTTTCCTACCCCGCTCGGGTTGCCCATCCTGCACGGCGCCGCGGGGCGCCGCGACTCCAAGTTCTTCTTCCAGTGCGCTTGCTCGGCCGGCCGTGCTTGCTCCGTGTTTAGATTGTTCCAGCGTCGCTCAATCGAAAATTAATTCAAGTTTCCGAGTGTGCCCCGCCCCGCCCACTGATTGCCAAAGTGTGATTTCGGTGGCGAAACGCGGAAGTGCCGACCGCGAGCAAGCGTTGCCGCGTTTCTCCGTGGCCGCGTTTTGTCTCATCCCGCTACGCTGGCGGAGAAGAGAGTTCAGAGTTGGTCGAAGATCGACCGAATTCGACCGAATCGGAAGGCGGGTAGTGCGCGCTCCACTTACGTTGAGTTTCTCTAAAAGTTTTTTTTTTTTGCTGCTTGCCAAGAAGGCGACCGTTGAAGACGGGAAAACAGGCGAGCGCTTGCAAGGGAGACAGAGAGAAAGAGAGAGAGGGTGAGAGAGAAAGAAAATTACCAACGCGTGTGCAAATACGGTCCGCTAAGTGTGTCTCCTCGGCTCCCCAGCAGCAGCAGGCCCTCACTGAAGCGACACAAATGTGCCTCCCGTGCGCATTCGCATTGTCCAGCGGACCGATTCGCTCTGTCTCCGTCGCACTCGCGGGGGCGTCCGGTCGCGGTGCGAGAGAGACAGACACGCAAAACGCCGCCGCGCCTGCCGAAGACACGACACTGCACGACACGCGCGTGCGCTAAGTGCCGGCAGCGATTACGCCAAATTGCTCCAGAAAAGACGGGAAAAAAGACGAGGGTGGAATAAAAAGAACGACGCGCTTCATTTGTCTTTTTTTTGGCGGGAAAATAGCGTCGCGGCGCCTCGCTGTGACGCGGCGGGGGCTGCACAGTGTAGGACAAACATCACGGCCCCGGCCGGCCCGGCGGCCCGGCCTACTGCCATGCATTGTGTATTCGATGCTCAACTCGACGCCTCCCTTCCCTTTTCCTGAATTCACACCACCGCCGCCCCGCCGCCGCCTTTCCCTCGTGTTTCTGAATTCACACCGCCGCCGCCCCGCCGCCTTGTCGCCGACGACGCCCCCGCCTGCATCAAAACAGAACATATTCCCGGCGCCTACACTGCTACAACGGGCCGCCTCGGCGTCGCGGCGCCCCCCGCCACGCCCCGCCACGCGCCCCACTGCATTGTCAGGCCTGTTGTATAAATTCCGGCCAATTTTGTGAAAAACGGCCTCCGCCGTCTGCATCCCGGCCGTGGTGCATGGAAAATTCTCTTCCCCTCTTGCCTTTCCAACCCCCACCCCTACCATTGTAAAAAGACCAAAAAAAAAAAAAGTTATTGAAAAATGACTAATTAGCTTTGAACGCACATCAAAGCGGGATCGGGAGCGTCATGT